TCCCATCTTTTGCTTTATACGTTCCTAAGGCCAACTGAGAACGGAATGAATTGTGGGCCTAAAGGAGAGGGATTTGAAAAGGAATTCGATTGAAAGGACTTCTTACATTAACAAGTCCAGTGATCTCAGCAGCCGGCAGGACAACCGCCGAAATACCTGAAAATGGAAAGCATTGACTAGTTGCTGTTAGTTTAGCTTTCATATGCTTGCAGTCAAGAGTGCCAGACTCGTTTTAATCTCGTTTTATCTCAATAGTCAATATCTGAATACAAAAGATAACTACTGACCAGCAAAAAGAGCGCACAGAAGAGTGAATTTCATTGTCGAACGATGAAATGAATGAATCCGGGGATCCGTTGATTTGCCAGTCATTGCAGAGGGCTTTTATATGGGACAACTTCCCCTTTCAGATACAATAATAATACTTCATCTATAAATTAAAAATCGAACGGAAACAAAATGCTACAGATGCTATACGAAATGTATTAAACAAACAGACTTTTTTCATTAAAAGTTCAACTGTACACTTTACGGTTGATCCACTTTACACATTCACTCGCTCTCTTTATACCATAGAATCATGCTCAAAGAGGCAATCTTAAAGCAATATTCTAGTCAAAGGAACATGTTCATTCGTTGAATCCTTGAACTAAATGAATTGTAATTTGGTAAAAGCAAAAGAGTGTAGAGCAGAGTGTGTGTTGAAACTTTTGGGCACTTCAGCAATTGGTTTGATAATTCACCAATCGGCTGGCCACTCTGATGCCTTGCGACACTCCGGGCCGTTGGTCTTTCGTCAGATCCGATTTTACGAATGTGTTTTTCCGTTTCTGCAAGAAATAAACGTTTAGTGCTTGAAATCGTCTCAGAAATGAAACGATACTTCATCCGGTACTTAAATTGAGAAAACAGTAGAACATTGGCATTGAGTGACAAAGAGAATACTGCCAAGGGTAATTAGGAAATCAAGGAAGAACGAGAACTACATGAATTTATAGAAATCGAAGAGTATAATAACAGTTGAAAGTGTAACCACACAAAACTTGATCTGAAATGGATGAACAGTGAATACGTGATAGAGACTATTCCTGAATGCATCCAGTTTCTGCCCAGAGATCACGGAACTCTGTGGTTGAAGGGGAATGGGAACAATAGCCCGTCTTCTCGATAACAGTTTCCCCTTTCTTCGAATCAGCATCAACCCGCTGCAAACGTTCCCCAAGAAAAAAAATTCAAAACTGCCTTAAAGAAAAAAGAGTTTTGGCACCAGGAGTGCCACCAAAAGCCACTTAAAGCTTTTCTAAGGTTCAGTTTGAAAAGTAGCCTCGTTTTTCTTCTGTATACATATATATGTCATCGTAGGTTTCCATTTGGCACACTGGCTTGGAAATTTTTCTTTAGAATCTCATTGCTGGCTACAATTTTTGATCACCTTTTTTCCTATTTTCATTAAAATAACCATTTGTTCAATTTTTTTGTTTAAACTTTGTAAATTTTAAGGATTTAACTTGAGTAATTAATTGAAACTCTGCCTTTGTTGGGTTATCTTTGAAATCAAACATTTTATTGAGAAAGAATCGTTTCATAATTTTTTTTCAGCAACAAAATTGAGTCATAATATACGTGAGAATATGGAAAAAATAATGAGATAATGAACAGAAATTGTTTACAAAAAGATTAGTATTTATAGCTTTAAGAGATCTATTAAACTTATCAATGAGAAATATAGCTTTATCATTATTTAAACCTCCTCTTCATCCTCATTGATGAGCATTTGACGATCGATTTCGGTTGTATCCAAACCACAACAGTGGAAACAGCAACTAAAATAGAAATTCAGCAAAATTCAGATGAAAAATCGATTCTGATTTAGTAAATTGCTTTTGATATGTTGAATAATAGTTATACCTGGTCATTGGATTGTTCTCACTCATTCGTGGAATGAGATGTCGACGAGTGAACGGTCCAACAAGGATATCATTGTAGATGAACATTCCAAGGATTAGGAGAGCAAAGCCGAGAATCTGAAAGAAATAACTGTTTTTCTTTTAAGTTCAACAAACTCGACCTGCAGTGGGATGAATGTTTCCCCAAAGAATGGAATCGACACAACCCAGATGATCAATGTCCGCACCGAATCGAGAACCATTCTTGTCGTGGCTGAGAGCTCTTTTGTCACTGAAACACCTGCGAAGTTGAAGAAAGCGATGCTGAAATTGTTACTAGTTAGAGAGAGATTGTTACTAGTTAGAGAGAGATTGTTACTAGTTAGAGACAACATCTGCTATTGCCCAGCAATTGTTGGGCATACCACAACAAATCTCATCTTGGCCTCTTTCTCCGTTTTCTGACACTCACCTAATAATCGTTCCCACTAAAGCCACAGCAATTGTTGGGCATTCTCTGATTTCTTTCAAAGCAAAGAAAACATCTTCCAATCGGCCTTGTGGATTTGTTGAGAAAGTATTTGGCACGTGAATGAAATACATTGGAAACATCAACACACTCAAGATCATCATTCCAAAGAGTCCTGAAAAGTTAAAGACTTTTTTTGAATTTGAAAGCTCTTACTCTTTCTTAGCTGTAAAACTTCCCCACCTTCAAGTCCAACAGCGAACAGAGCTGGCACATTGTATTGATTAAGAAATTTCTGCTCGTAAACCATTTGTATAGCGACAATGATTTGAGCGGTGATGATGAGAAGATTTCCAGTGATCATTCCATTTGTATCATTTGTAGATGAATTTTCATAAATAATATCCGTCACTCCAACCACAACCAATCCCATCATAACAAAGAACATTCCAATCCATTTGAATGGTTGAAAGCGATAACCAAGCATTCCAACGGAGAGGAGACCCGTGAAAATAATGACAGCTCCTGGAATTGCTTTATCAGTAATATGTTAACTTTTTTAGCTTTCTTTAAAAACCCTACCTCTCAACATTTGAAAGGAGGAAGCTGTTGTAAGATTGAGTCCAATATACATCAATGAAGTGGCAATGATATCACACAAAGCAGGCGGAAGGAAAACGAGTGGATTGAATTGAGGAAGAGATGGCTTCTCATCGAGCGAACCGATTCCTTCACCTGAATCTCATTTGAATTGATCTTATTATTAGATAAACGTTTGTAAAGCAAAAGCTTTACGAACCAGAAAGCTTTGAGCGATTCCATCTGTATCGTTTGATCATATAGATGATGAAGAAAGCCACCAAACACAAGAATTCACCGAAGAACATGCAGGTAGCCTAGAGTTTTTGAACTTTTTAGTAAAGAGCTAAATTATTGTTACTTGTAAGAAAGGATGATTGAAATTGACGGATTCTCCCGGTGGTTTTAAACTATCAGCCCATCTAGAAATAAATTGAAATAAAAAATAATGTCATTGACAAACTTTGCACAAATCGTATTTAATGATCCGGTGATCACCATCAAAATCGAGATCAATGCGGCAAAAGCACGTCGCTCAGTCATTGAAAAGTTAAAATCTAGTAAAGAAAAGTAAATGGATTGAATGATTGAGTGAAATGAAAACTAAAAGGATCGATTTTGAGTAGATCTGCTTTCCCAATGGCATTTGAGTTCCCAATTTATCTCTAATTACAAGAAATCTGTTAGACAATTACAGAAAGTTAACATCTGCTAGATTTTCGGTGTCTTTAATAACTAGTTTTGAAGGTTTTTAAGAAAATAGATGAATCTTTAAAAATAACAAAATTAGATCTTAAAAAGAAAAAATGAAAATTTTGCTAATTGCGAATTGCGAATTCAAATTTTCTACTTAAATTTAGTTACAATTGCACACAGGACTCTAATTTAACTCTGAAAAAGTCTTTTTTTAAACAGGAAAAGGCTCATTAAGCTCTTTATAAGTTCTTCTCATAGAAAAATTAAGTAAGTGCACTATAGAGACGGCGACGACTTCAACCCTGTCGAACTTCAACCCTGACGACTTCAACCCTGTCGATTTAAAACGCATTTCCCCGAGCTTCCACTATGAAATTCGTAATCTACTTATAAAATTGCTCTAGAAAAAGTACTTTTGAAGAAAACAAATCTACAAGTAAAGCATTCACAAATTCTCTTTAGGATCAGACTGGATCAGATTCTGTCCAAAGCTGTAATGTTTCAACTGAACCGAAGCTATCTTTTAACGCCTTTTCTTTTCCCTTTCTTTAAGCCCGGAATGGGTGAACGATTCTTCAAAATCAAGCAAATCTATGTCTCAAAATCTTTTCCATTTCACAATAGTCTATTTCCTTTGTGCTTTCGAAGGTTTTTGATAATTTGTCGATGAAATAGACTTTTTCACTCTTTCCAAGGCTTATTATTCCCCCTCTCCTCTTTCCTTTCAAAAAGTCTTTTAACCAGGGCTGCAGTAAAATCAATTCTAGGTAAGATCTTGCAGATAAAGTCTGAAAAAAACCTTCTAAATCACTTATTGTTTTTAAAATCTATCAATCATTTTATGATGTCTTTGATTGTCGATTTGATTGTTCAACTTTCCACAAATTTTCTAAATCAACTTATTTTTAACTTTTCAATCAACTTCTAAATCACTTTTGAAGAAAACAAACCTACAAGTAAAGCATTCACAAATTCACTTTTTTTAAAACCTATCAATCATTTTATAATGTCTTTTTAATTGTCGATTTGATTGTTCAACTTTTCCACAAATTTATTTATTTTTACTGGTACGATTTTTTGAATAATTTTTAGAGAATATTAGAAAAAGAAAACAAATTTAAAACCAACAAAAGCAAAAATTTTTTTGGGATGACAGAATAGAGAAGAATTAAAGAATTAAAGAATTAAAGAGAGAGAGGAAAAGGAAATGTGGAAAGAAAGAGAAAAGTGATGGAATCTTTTGTTTTTTTCTCGATGTTGTTGTTGGTGTTGTGTTGACCTGAAATGATAAAGTATAAGAATTTTAATGAACAGCACTATACTATATATTATATTTAATTGTAAATCTTTAAAAAAAACTGACCGCTTTACTTGGGCATTTGGTTTTGCTGAGCCTGTTGGAGGACATTGGCAGCCTCGCCGACCTGAAAATTTGTATTTTAAGAAATCTTCGCTACAGCTACTATTATTTTTATTTAAAAGCTATTTTAGAGCACTTATCTACACTTGTCTAGTATACTTTTTATTCAAAATTTCAAAAACATTCTTTCTAGTACAGTTTTTTCGTTATCAGATTGGAAAATGACGAATCTCAGTGCATTAGAAAGAATACATTTTCATTTTTCACACAAAATTTATACTTGATTGAGTACTTTGTGCTCAATATATGTAAACTCAGTGCACCAGAAAGGTGATGTTTCTATGTTCCGAGTACGTATACTTGTCAATTTCACAAACCTTTTGACGGAAGAGCTCGTCGTCTTGCAACATCATGATCAACTAAAAAGCATAAAGTTTTTTGATTTTTTTTGTACTATTGTTTTACTTACTTTGTTTCACTGTTTTGTTTGTTGGATGTTGTTTTACTTACAAATGAAAAGCGCTCGCTCGTAGAATAAACCGTAGAATAAATAAACGAAAATCGGCTCTTTTTTGCCACTTTTCAATCATTTTTTTGCTAAGCGCTGGTTAATGTTAAAAGCATAAAGTTTTTGATTTTTTTTGTACTATTGTTTTACTTACTTTGTTTCACTGTTTTGTTTGTTATTAGTGTAGGTAAATATCTCTAGATAATGTGTTAAAAAAAAGACCTCAGCGTTGTCCATTTCGAGCATCATTCCCGTAATCTTTCCGGCATCGTTTCGACCGTTGTACATCTTGTCGATAAGGGTGTAAATACGCTCTCCAAGCATTTGCTTTTGTTCCTAAAATTTCATCAATCATTTACAGAGTCTCTTGACTCAAATAAGTCTAAGTTTCCAATATGTGATATCTCAAATGAGTCTAAGTTCCCGATTCACAAACCTGTGGAGAAGCTTGTGCAAGAGCATGAGACGAGAGTGGCTCTTGTCCTCCAACCACGATATTCTGTTGAGGAGTTGGGCGAACAGCTTGCGCGTATCCGGCTGGTGCACGTTGTTGTGGGACTCCACGTGGAGCAACGCCTTGTTGTTGATATCCTTGCGGCGCGCGTTGACCAGTAGGGGCGGCTCCTGGACGGCGTTGTTGTTGGTAGCCTTGCGTTTGGACGAGGTAAGGAGCTTGTCCAAAGGTTTGTCCAGGTAATCCAGCAGCACTCCAGCGTTGAGGTCCACGCATGGCGGCAGCGGGCATTCCACCTCCAGCCATGAAGTTGCCGCGTTGGTTCTAGAAATTGCAAATGTTTTTAGTATTCTGTCTGCTTAGAAAGCTGATAGAGTGATAAAAATCTTTTTAAACTCACTGGAAGAGCGCTTCCGACAAAGTATCCTCCATTTCCGGCTGTGTAGATGTTGGTGGTGGGCATTGGTCCAGACATGCGCATGCTGGCGAGACGTTGCATGTATTGAGAGGCGAGTTGAGCACGACGATCGTCCTACAAAAGAGATTTTAACGTTTTTAATCAATAGATGAGTACTTTCTGCTAAAAATCTGTGTAAACATATCTAGAGATTCATTATCTAAAGTTTGACAAACCTTGCGTTGAGCAAGTGCCACATAGAGAGGTTTGGAGCAGATGATCTTTGCGTTCATCTCAGTGACAGCCTTTGTAGCCTCATCAGGCTTCTCAAAGCATACAAAACCGAAGCCTTTCGAGCGCCCGTTCTCATCAGTCATCACCTGAAAATGTAAATTAAAATTCCATCATAAATTCTTGAGATGAAAATCTGAATTTCGTTTGATTTTTGATCTTTTGAAATGTCTTTGATTCAGATCTTAGCCTCGTGGTTTCTAAAGTTTCCCAGCTTCAGCGCTTGCCCATTTTTGGCGAATCCCAATGTTTGAATCGTTTCTGTGTCTGTGTTCGAGTCACGTTTTTCCCCTCTCTATTGACTTCTCCTTTGTGTGTGCCCCTACATGTCAGCACATACCGTTAGTCGAATGTCTTTTTCTCTATTTCTTTCTCTTTTATCAAATCCCAATCTCTCTCAATTTCCTCAATCTTTTCTCGAACCACGAGTCCGGTTCTGACTCCCCCTTTTGCTCTGTACTGGACTGCTCCCCCTTTTCCCTTCATTTTTCGATTCCCCTCAAACTATAGCTAAAAATTGAGATGATATAAACACCATTCATTTTTCAGACGATTGAATGGGACAAGAGAAAAAGGATTGCTTACCTATTGTCCCTAAAAAAGCTTTTCTATTGTCAAAGTTAAATAAATTTTTGAAAACAAGATATTCTGGCAAAATTATGAACCAAAATAGATTAAAAATAACTAGATTTTTCAATTTTAATGTAAACTTTAAAGATATAGTCAAAAACCTAATAGAACTTAGCTAAAGAATTAGAATTTGATAGAATTCCTTAGCTAAAGTTTACTTAACCTTTTTAACTGAATAACATAAGATTAAAACATTTATAAACTAATGTTTCCTAAACCCCATTCCCAGTCAACCCCCAAAGTTCATCGAGATTTTCGTTCCACTTGTTCACCCCTTTTCCCCCTTATCAAATCCCCATGTTTACCAGTTTCCCCTTTTCCTGTCTATTTCGAAATCCTTTCCCCGATCAATACCTTGGCTGAGGTGATCTTTCCGAATTCCTCAAAGCTCTTTCTCAAAGTCTCATCATCGACCGAATCATCCAAGTTCTTTACGTAGAGATTCACTCCTTGATAGCGTTGCATTCGCTCAGCTTTCGCCATCTCAAAGCGTCTGAAAGAAAATGAAAGTTGTGACGGGGGTTTTCAGTTTCAAGCATCGGGAAAGATCTCTAGGAATGATCTTTGTACTAGTTAGTTACTGTTTCACAGTTTATTTCCTAAAAGATCTTATAAAGTTCAAGTTTTTTACTTCACTAAATTACTGGAGAGTTTTTCTTTTCTTTAATCATGTTAAAAGATGTTCAGCCTTGTTCCCTGAATAACTTCGCTTTGGGCTAGAATAGTAAGATAAAATTCTTAAACTTTACAACATCTTTCACTTCTTTTCTAGTTGAAAATTTATAATTTCAGCTTTTAAGCAACAATTTGGTCATTTTCGGTGATTCAAATTGAAAAGCTCTTATTTGTACAGCCTTTTCAGCTCTTTTTAAAAGCAATATGAATGGACGGAGCTATAATGCGATTGTGAAACGCAATATAGACTTGGAGAATTGATATACAAATATATATATTTCAATACAAAATCGAATTTTCTACCTCTTGAGCTCAGCAGATCGTTCTCCTTTCTTCTGAGCACGGCAAACGAAGAGCTTCTTGTCGGATCCTTCCAAAGCGAACTCGTTCAAAGCATCAACAGCCTGAGATTTTCATTTATCAATGTAAATTTAGTATTGAATCTGGTTTTTTAACTTTTCAAGCAAATAGCTCAGCTTTTAGCTCAATAACAAGTAAGTTTACTGTAAAAGTTGCTGACTAAACTTACTCTAAAGTAACTGTCTAACTTGCTGACTAAACTTACTGTAAAGTCTAACTGTCTAACCCATACAATAAAGAGTTGTGTGAATTCCATAAGCTTTGCTATTTCTTATAGTAAGCTTACAGATCTAATTTAGTAGTTGGACATTTTTCTTACAAGTACTCTCCCCCACCTTCTCGGCATCTTCAGCCTCTTTAAATGCGACAAATCCGAATCCCTTGCTCTTTCCCTCAATATCGGTCATAACAGCGCTCGAGCTGATCTCTCCATATTTTGCGAAGAGTTTATCCAATGTATCCTGGTCAAGATCTTCTCCAAAGTTCTTCACGAATACATTGGTGAACCGCTTGCCCGACTCGCCGATCTCTTTGGCACGAGCAGCTCGAGGTTGGAATTTACCGACGTACCTGAATAAAATACAGTAAGATTGGTCTGAATTAAGTTAAGAAACGTACACTTGTTTTCCAGCGAGAAGCATTCCATTAACTTTCTCAATGGCTCTAGTTGCAGCGTCCTCGGTCTCGAAATGCACAAAGCCATAGCCCTTCGATTGTCCCTCATCATCGAGAGCAACCTGGAATAGAAATAATTACACTTTAATGTTATAAATAAAGATCTTAAGTATTGTATTCGTGTAATAAGTAGCTAATATTATAAGTTATCCAAACTTAGTTACTCTTGAATCCATTAAAATTGAGTAATCAAAAGATGAAAGCTGTTTTAAAATGTCTGATTTTGTGAGTTTTTAAATGATTACCTTGCACGAAAGAATGTTTCCGAAAAGCGAGAACGTATCGTAGACAGCTTTGTTGTCAATGGACTTGTCAAGATTCTTGATGAAGATGTTTCCAGCTCCAGAGCGACGAGTAGATGGATCACGGTTGGACCACATAATGCGAATCGGCTTTCCATTGAGTGCGTCGAAGTTCATCGTGTCGAGAGCACGTTCGGCTGGAATTCGATTGCATTTAATCACTTACAAGTCAAGTTTACAAGTCCTGCTTTCTACAAAAGTTTTAAGTTCTTAAACTAGCGTAAGAAGTCATGAAAAATTCATAGCCTTTTACCTACCATCAGCTGGTTGTTGAAAGTTGACGTAGGCGTAGCCAAGCGAGCGGCGAGTGATCGCATCACGGCAGACACGAATCGAGAGAACCGGGCCGGCAGTGGAGAATTTGTCGAAGAGCATCGACTCGGTGACTTCAGGATGGAGATCACCCACGTAGAGTGAAGCCATCGAGTAAGAAGTGGCTCCAGTTGGTGGGACTCCTTGTTGCATCACAGCGGCGGCCATTTTTCACTTTTTCTGAAAACACAGAGTTGAGTAAGGCTTTGTAAGGTTGTAAAGTTAAAGCTAGAAATGATTGACTATGATCTACAGTAAATAGCTGTTGAATTAAAGTAGAGTAAACCATAAAAAATGGCTATAACATTATTGAAAGGCTATAAAAATCGATCTGAAAATAACAGAAAGCTTAATGGAAATGATTATATCTTCAATTCTTCAATTAGACAATTCTTCAATTAGCCATTAGCGTTTATAAGAATGCATATAACCATCATTTCGTAATTGTCTTATTCATTTTCTAGATCAATTATTTGACTCTAAAATTGATCGATTACTTAAAGAAATGATTCTTAAACAATTCTGATTAAGAATAGTATCATAAAAAATGATTTTTTCGTTAAAACAAAACTATTGCGAAATCAGCTATCATTTGCCAACAAAAATTTCAACGAAATCTTCGAATTTAAAAAGTTAAACTAGATATTTATTTCAATTTTTGATAAGAAACCAACCTTTTTCTTGAGGAAAGAAGCACAGAATAGGAATAGAGTTTTTTTCAGTCAAAGAAATCCTTGCAAAGTTTTAGAAGCGACTTTGCACGGGGTTTTTCAAAAAGGCTTTTATGCTTTTTTGGGTTTTTTAAAAGTTTTTATAAATTTTTTGGGGTTTTTGGCGAAATTTTGCAAAGGCAAGTGTGTGACCCGGTTGGGGACTGAGTCACGGGGAGGTTCGTCGAGAGGGACGATCGGCGAATGCAAAAGAATAGGCGAGAAAAATCAACGAGATTTCCCCAAACCCCGCCCACCGCGACGCTTTCTGCGAGCGTTGCGGCAAAGCGGGAATTCGAATTTGTGCCCTTTTTTTAGGTCACTGGCAATAATATTTTTGATTGCCAATGGTCAATGAGCACAATGTTTGGCATGTCTAGGAGGCTCAGTTCTTTGAAATCAAAGTTTTTATGAAGAATCTGTTTCTTGGGGCACTAGGAAAGCTAAAAGAGATTAAACTGGTACAACTGGTTAACTGGTAAACTGGTTAACTGGTACAACTGGTTAACTGGTAAACTGGTTAACTGGTACAACTGGTTAGCTGGTACAACTGGTTAACTGGTGCAACTGGTTAACTGGTACAACTGGTTAACTGGTGCAACTGGTTAACTGGTACAACTGGTTAACTGGTACAACTGGTACTATTGTTATTAAGACTATAAAGCTCAATGCATTAAGTAAAATAAAAGAGGAAAGAGGGAACTTTAAAGATATTCAGTCTTGTTAATTGAATACTTTCATTCCAGAATAAGGAAATGTATCTTAAGCAGTCGGATAGGACGGATAGGAATGGCCAGACTAGTGCTCATTCAAGGACTTGTTAAATGAGTTGCATAAATCCGATTGAAAAGTTTTTGGTAGATAAATGTAGCCAAGATTAAGGGCTACAATTCTTTATATAACACTTGAAATTTTGCAATAAATTAAGCGTACTACTTTTCCAAAAAGTTGTCCGGGTAATTTTGCCCAACCCTGTAGCTATTAGTATCATTAAAGTCCGTCTCGTGTAAGTGTCGTTGCGTTAAAAAGGATATTTAATTTACTAACTCTAATAGTAAGAGCTATGAGTAAACTTGGCTTCGGCACATATAGATTTTATTGTATTAGTATTGTTAAATCAAGTCTAATAGTAAGCTAAATACACCGTTTCCCCTTTCCATCAAGTCGAGAATCAAAACCAATAAGAGGATCTAGTTTTGAACTGCTTAAGATACATTTTCTTATTTCGGAATGAAAGTGAAAGTATTCAATCAATAAGACTGAATATCTTTAAAGTTTTTCCCTCTTTTCTTTTGTTTACTGCATTGAGCTTTATAGTCTTAATAACAAATTTGGCAATAGCTTATTTATTTGAAACACATAAACACAAACAACTCCTTGTAAACTCTTGTTTGTTTTTAAGCCAAATCAACAGTTTGAAAGTCTGTGAAAACATGATTCATTTTCAAATGCTCTGCTTAGTGCAATTATTTTTGACAAATCTTTATGATCGCCAATGGCTCTAGGAAAGAGAACTTAAAATCGCCTGGAGATACTATAGAACACTGGAAAACTGAACAGATGTTTACTTATAAGAATTGTATGCATTTTGGCAGTAAAAGAATTGGCACAGGAAATTCCCAATTGATGACTAAAAAGTTTTCCCATTAAGCCAGCCCATTTTCTAGAAATTTATGAGCTTATTGAAAGCTTTCAAAATAGAAAAAAGTTTATTGTTTACAGTTCGATCAATTTGAATTCAAAGCTTTAATGCAGAAAGGATTTAGACAAAAGTCAGATGAATTTCTTGCAAATGAACCAATGATGAGCCTCAGCGTCGGGCTTATTGAGACGATACCATTTCAGTTGAGTGTCTTGCGCAGTTGGGTAGATCTAAAGTCTTGTAGTAGTCATAACTGTAGATACTGTAGATACAAATGTGCCATTTTTCTAGAGATAGATTTCTAAAAGTGGGCACTTTTTCGAAAACACATTCCTTGAGAGGAACACTACTTTTCTACACAGATAGGATTAAATATTATTAATAACAATTTTGGCAATATTTATTTTAAACGCATAAACACAAACAACTCCTTGTAAACTTGTAAACAAACTCTTGTTTGTTTTTAAGCCAAATCAACACCGCCAGTTTGAAAGTCTGTGAAAACATGATTCATTTTTGAATGCTCTGCTTAGTGCAATTATTGATAAATATACATATTCTTTTGTTTTTCCCCTACCATTGCCGCTTGGACACCATTTGTCCCTATCCAATTCATGTAATTGAATTTTGTCCCATCAGTCCACTGCCAAATTTTTGTTGATGAGTTTTGCTGTAAAAAAAAAGGATTACGATAAGAAAACTGTACATATAAAAGTTTATTCAAATTAGATTAGTAATAAAGAATTGAAGAAATTGGGAAAAAAAGTACTCCTCAATCTTTTGCTTTTGGCAATTGCTTTAACCACTGAGCTCCGGTGGCTTAACTTGCTGAGAGAAATGCTCTAATTGTAAGGCTCTAATTGTAACCCACTTTTGCTCCAATCCAGTAGTAAACAATCGTGTGATGTTGAGCTGCTAAGCCTAAAGATTGATGTGAAAGATCGAAAAAGATTAGCCAACTCCAAACAAAACGATTTTCTTCAGCACTGTGAATGGATACAAGATGAGCTCCAGTCAATGCACAGTAATCCTCGGCTTCTTGCAAAGTGACACTTTCGTTGATCACCTGTACTTATTTGTTTGCTATTATAATATTCTTAAGCTAGGCTATAACTAGACTAAAGGCTATAGGTAGAGCTGGTTCAGAAAAGCAGAGATAAATCTCGTACAAATCCTGATACTACTTACAATACCCTGTCTATTACATTTAACTAAAGTTCTCCTTTGCACTCACCGTGTAGCATGCTTCGGTTTTCATGAAAAACGTCCATCCAAGTGGGCACGATTGAGCCTTGAGGAGAAGATCCCTAAAGATCCCTGTTTAGATTATTTTTCTGAAAACTTTCAAAGCTTTTAAGATAATTAAATGTCAAAAAAGGCTGGCAGTTATTACGATAGTTTTTTAAAGTTGGAAAACTCGATAGAAACATCTACTCTATAACTGCTTACAATTAGTTTTTTTCACCTACAATTTCTCCTCGATACTTTTCAAGTTTCCATCAGAAGTAGAAGTCCTTTGGTGTTTTCGGATTCTGAATGAAATATTTAAGTGACAATTCTATCAAGCTTACCTTGCATCAACGAAGACAAGGACGAAAAGGCAAAGAAAAAGTCGGATCATCGGAGAAGTGATTGCTGAAAAAAACTCCAAGTTTTCATTTAGAATTTAGCAGAATGCAAAGAGTGTTTCTAACTAGGGAAAGACATCAAGTCAAGGTGGCCTTTTAATACGAGAGCCACGGGCCTTTGCAAAATCATTAGTGGCGTAGTGGATAGTGTACTCGCCTCCAGAATTGCTTGGCCGATTGCCAGTTCGCTCCCGGTATACTTTTTTTTCCTTTTTTAAGAAAATGATTAGAAAATTTGGATGTATTTCACTATTTTGTGGAATTCAATTCCATTCCGCGTATTGAATTCCACTATTTTTGCATAAGTAGTCCATGAAATCGTAAACAATGTTCACATTTATGTTCGTAAATCATTTCTAAACATTCTTCCGTTAATCAAAGTCAAAATAAATCAATCCTGATGCCATAAACATTTTCTCAAAAAGAATATACCGGGAACGAACTCGAACCCGGCCAAAAAAAAATTCTGGAGGCTAGCACACTATCACTTCACTGCGCCACTAGCTTTCTATCTAAGGAAGAGAGAAAAAGCTTTAAAAGAATCCAAAAATCGGCCTAAACTTTGATGCCAGATATCTCGCTTTACAGAGTTCCATTGAAAAAAGTAAAAGCATATTCAGAATCAGCATATCCGACACTATAAAGCTCCGTGGTTTTCGTATTAAAAGACCACCTTGACCAGGTGCCTTTCCTTAGTAAGAGCAAGAAAGCCAAAAAAACTTTTCCCAACTCAAGATTAAGACCAAAGCTAAAGAGTTTTCTGATCTCGCCTCACGTTCTAATGGTGCAAAATGGTTTTTAGTTCGAATGGGTGTGACCCCCACCTGTCACCAGTCTATTATCACTCCTCGAGGGTAGGTCAGATCTGTTTCCCGCCATTGCCTCGGGAGAAAAGTCGCAGCTTTGCGCTCAAACTCTTTTGCATGGTTGATTCAAATCATTTTGAACTAATTAGATTCCAAACGGGTGTAAAAGGTGTTAACTATAGTGTATTCCAAATCGAATGTTGGGTTTTCTGAACATATTCGCGATGGTGGTATTTTGGGGGTACGATACCTGTTTTACTGATAATTTGATGAAAATTCCAAATAAACTAAACTAGCATTATAATCATTCAATACCCCTGAATCTCCTGAAAACTAGTATAAAGTTACCAAAGATTTTCTGCAAAATAAATAACAAAAGTCCTTAAAAACTTGAGTTGGCACGAAAAATAATCGTCATTAGTACAACCAAAAGATGTTCTATCATTGTGAATTTGTTAAAATAGCACAAATAAAGAGTGGGGAATCAATACTGCAATGTTAGCTGTGTTCGATGAAGAGGGATTAACTTAAAGACCTCAAGAGGGCTTAGTGGCTTTTGTGATGTAGGAAGAAAATCTAAAAAGACGCTTAAAATGGATTTATGCAATGTGATTCTTGAATTTTTGGCTTTAATTCAACAAATTCGCTTTCACACTTTGCAGTAAAAACGATTTATTCGAAAGCTTCATTCGACTTTATAAAGCTGATTTCTTGCAGATGAACGCCTTGTCAAAAACGGGTTTATTAGGAGATTCTCTTCCTTCGGATCGAACTTTATAAAGATTCCAGAGTCTCTCACCAAATGGAGTCCAATTGTAGCCTCTGTGAGTCTAAAATAAGTTATATGCAACTTTATTTTTTACCGAGTCAAGAAGGGCAGTACATGACCGTCAAAAACTGAACAAAACGATCGATTTCAATCATTTCCTTTACTTTTTGGTTCCTGAAATTCCATCATAGACTCTCCAGTGTGTACTTTATGCTCAAATTTTGTGAACACATCTTTCTAGTGCACTCAATTCTTCATTTTTCTTGTAGCGATGGTCTGATTCTACGAGAAACATGACGAATCGAGGTGTAATTAATTTTGAAATCTATTTCACTTTTTACTTATCTTTACATACGTGAGCATCTTGGCCAGATCCTGTGTTTCCGGGGCCTAAAACTGATCGAGTCGAGATTCCCCAATTCGTGTAGTTGACCTCAGTTTGATTAGTCCACTCAAAGCTGTGTGTCTCGTTGTTTTCGTTTTGCCTTTTCTAATATCATTTCTTAAACCGATGAAAACCTCGCCTGAATACTGATTGTGTTGATGTGCAAGCTCTAGATTTGTTTGAGGTTTATGCTAAAACTGTGTTGAGAGCAAGTTCAACTAGCTTTTGGAAAACTCACTCCAAACAAATCTGTCTTCCTCACGACTGTGAATTGAAGCAAGATGACCGCCCTCTGACACACAGTATTTCTCGGCCTCGTCGAAAGTCTTAACCATTTCGAAAACCTATTGGGTTGGGGAGAATGAGTCGGCGCCAAACTTTAAAGGGACTTTTTGCACACATAAAGCCTTCTTTAAACATACGTTTGGTTTCATCAAAAGGATCCACTATTTCTCTACAAAATCACTTTTGAGAGATTCCACAAAGCTTTTCTTTCGTGGAGTTTATGAACTTCCAAACGCAGCTGGTTAAAATGGCAAAGAGTCCGACTCATCATTTGAACAGTTTCTTTCACATAAACCTTCTTTGGTGTTTATATAAAAAGATAGAGCACATTCAATTACTTAAGTTGCCAAATTTGCAGGAAGATCCCACCAATGGTTTTTTCTAGATGACAGTTTGTAGTTTTTGTGAAAAAATGGCTTTTTCTTGAGCGGAGGCGCTGTTTGAATTTTCTTTTAAATGTCATTTTGTAGAGAATTAGTTAACCATTCTACTGATATCAAACGCATATTATTTGACGAAGTCGAATAGAAGTTTTAGACATTTTTTTGATTTTCGGCGCCGACTCATTCTCCCCAACCCAATAAAAATTTTTTTAGTTGGCCAGCCTGATCAGGCCTGTGTTTCCGGGGCCTAAAACTGATCGAGTCGAGATTCCCCAATTCGTGTAGTTGACCTTAGTTTGATCATTTCACTCAAAGCTCTGTGTCTGATTGAGCCGCTAGAATGAGATTCCTAAATGCGAATTTTAAACTAACAATTCTATTAGTATTAGGACTAAAATCTGAAACAAAGATAGCGATATCAAAAGATTATCACAAATCTCACAATTTTTCTTCAATTTTGTCCAATCTCGCATCACAAACCTCTTGCGTATGACTAAAATTGAACTTTTAGAGCAACATCCGAATTTTTTCTTACACTTGGAGTCCAAATATGAATAGAATTGATAAGGTGGTTAAAATTTTTAGAAGAATCATTGTTACCAACAATCTGACAGAGCCCAGACTTTGTTACTGATCTTTCGCGTGTTTAGATTTCGATAAACAATGAAGGTGAATCAATTTTCAAGTCACACGAGCTTCCAAGGATGAAAGGCAAACTCTTAACCTTCAGTAGATTGAGTTAAAGATACTGTCAAGTCCCATTTGTTTGTATCCGTCAGATGATTTTCACAGACTGTTGAAGCCAACAGTAAATGATGTCAAGGCAAATGGCACGAAAACAATTTATTTGATCACAATTAAGATGCCGCAATTTCTTTTCCATTGAAAGACACATTGTGAGCGATTTTCTAAAATGAATTCGATTTAAGAATCGATGTAAGTTTGAAGTATACCTCAAAAATCCACTTTAACTTAGGAAAAACTACAAGCTGGCTATTATTTTAAAAACAATCCCAAACCTGTTGTTTCGTGACTTTAATCGACTTGCAGAGGATGCTCTTGCGTTCGGGCCGACTCCTGAAAAATAAAAATAAAAAAATAAAAATTATTTTTAGAAACTTATAAAAAAGTAAACTAACAATAAATCATAAAAAGAACAAATCAACTTACGTAGCAGCTCCGATCGGCACGTAAATTTCCTGTGTATGGGGCTCGGACGTTGATTTGAGCAATCTAAAACAATGCAGATAATTAAAACAAAAGAATTCTAATTTAGAACAAAAGTTTATTATATAACAGACCATATCTGTAATCTACATAAAGTAATACATTATTTAAAACATAAAAAACTAACGGTTCATTGGCTGTCTTCATTTCGGTCACCGATTCCTTTGAGTTAGCTGCGTTCACCGTGTTGTCCGATTTATCACTGAAAAGTAGACAATTAGAATAATATTTGATAGAAGACAGTTTTTTTTTAAAGAATTGGGCTCGTTTATGAACAAAATTCGTGCAGATTCACGCAAATAGATACCACAATTACATAAAATGTTCAAGGCAAACTTTTTCGGGACCTAGTCAAAATAGCGCCACCAAAACAGCGACGTTCAAAACAGCGCCATTCAAAACAGCGCCCGTACAAAAATAGCGCCGTTCAAAACAGCGCCCATACAAAAATCGCGCCGTTCAAAATAGCGCCCATACAAAAATAGCGCCAAATTGAAAGAGACTGCGATTAGATTTTTCAACCCCAATGTTTTTATACTTCTCATCAGAACTTGTAACTTTTGTTATTTTTTAAACATTTCTAAGCACCTTGCGCGTGTTTTGCCAAACCGACAGATTATTTCATCATCAGAATCAGGTTTTATGGCCCATTTTAAATAAACAATGCGACACATTTTGTTTTTCATCGTTTTTTTTCTTATTTTTTCTGTTCTTGGGACTTAATTTTTTGTTTTTTTAGGTAAAAGAACGTCGCCTGAAGAAATAGAAGACTCCTTGCAAGTGATTCGGCGTGGCTAGCGACAAACACAGGTATTTTTCACACAATATAGTTTGCGAAGAAGTTCTACTTGTATAAGGTAATAACTTTGTTTCTTTGATCTTAAATAAATGTAATAAGATTGATTAAGCCAGTTTTTACACTTTTCTGCAAAATTTTGGTATCTCAACATCTTTTTTAATTTAGGGATGTCGCTATCTCAGAAAGGTGGAGTGCTACTTTACGATGAAGATGGACACGAGTATCGGAAGGACAAAACAATCCGAAAAGGGGTAGCTACAGCTTATCGGTAATTTCTTTTTACTAGTTTGGTTGTATATTCGTTGAACATTTTAAAGTTTTCTTTTAGTTGTACGAAAACAAACTGCCGGGGAAGGATGCATAAAGATGAAGCAACTGGAGTCCTTTCTGTCACCAACGAGCACGCTATGACCTGCCTGCCATTGAAAGAAAAAGAAGAGGTACGTATTGTTTTGTTTAACTTATCGTTTCTTGTTTATATTTTTAGATACGTGGAATACATTGTGGCGCCAAAAACGATCGGATTGCTGGAGTTCCGACGAAGGAAATTATTAAACGACGTGTTCTCGGAGCTCGCCCACACTTATTGCCTTATCTCAATGCCAAGGGTATTCAACAAATGGCTCGTCGGCAAGTCAAAATCGATGGTGATAGAGATTGGCCTGCTCCGGTCACTGGAACTTTTCGTGAGTTGTTGTTATGTTAGCCTCATAAATATTTACATTTAGGGGTTTTATTCTTACGATATGATAACTGCTCAAACTACCATTTATTTATTCTTTTAGGAGAAGAAACTACAAGACATCTATTGTGATTCAAATATGTTTGTCTACGTGAAAGGATTGCTTGCACTGACATTCATAAGACCTGTTGATGTCTTGCGATATTTTCGTGTACTACGAGATGAAGCCTTCAAACAAATTCCCTCCCTTATTAATGAGTTACAAGGTTTGTTATTTGTCTTTGTTATAGATTTAATTTTTAAAATTAGGCTTATATTCGTACTTCGAAAAATCTTTTGTTGGATTTGTTCAAAATAGTCGCTTCATTCGACCAACACACTCCATTGAAACGTGGAACTCGTATGATACAATCTGTCGTGGCGAACAACTTGGCAACTCGTCTCAAGAATCTTACAATTCTTTACTAAAAGTTTGTGTTTTTAATGTTTAGTTAATGTTTAAAGATTTAGGCTCTTACTTCACGATGTTCTGCTCGTTATGTTGCTCAAAAGCTACTAGATATTCAAGAAGACTTCGAAAAACGTCTTCTTGCGGCTACATCTCGGCACATGACTCTACCTCAATCTTCGCCTCAATCGTCGAAAGTTCTTCACGGCCATCGTGTAAGAAAAGTTGCGGTTCAAAATGGATCGTTGGGTAAGAGTCCAGTCGATCATTTAAAATCTTTATGTTGTTATATTCATATGTGTTAACTGCGTTGTTTAATTTTTTCATTTTGTTACTTGAATAAACAAATTTTTATGTACTATTTTACTTGAGAATGTACGAGAAAATAAAGCCTTTATGGAAAACTCCAAAAGAGCATTGGTTAATCTACATTAAAATCTTTAAATTCGGCGCTGTTTTGAACGGCGCGATTTTTGTATGGGCGCTGTTTTGAACGGCGCTATTTTTGTATGGGCGCTGTTTTGAACGACGCTGTTTTGAATGGCGCTGTTTTGAACGTCGCTGTTTTGGCGGCGCTATTTTGACTAGGTCCCACTTTTTCCGCATACACCTAACAGTAATAAAATTCATCATAACTAGAAAATTTTTAAACATTTATAAAAACCTACTCATTTTCCGAATTCGCTTCTGCATCCAGTTCGCTTCCTACTTTTTCGTCTAATAGGATGGCTAAAGAAAAGAATGTTTAAACAGAAAGCCTAGACTTTAAAAGAAACTGTCGTGAGTTTGCTACTTTGTTACGACTGTCGCCTTCTAGCAAAACATAAAACACGTCTGATTGAGCGTTCCTTTTGTATTGGGTCGGTACGGACACTCTATGATTCGCTTACCGAGGGAACTGGTCGATCCTGCGAGTTCTCCTCATCCTCGACATGTTCCTTTTCTGACTAAAGTTAAAAAGTTAGTCAAGCAAACATCTTGATAGTAGATACATTAACAATTTAACCAGAAAAAGAAGTATTTCGGCCCAAATATGTCCTCAAATCTAACTATAAGACTCATGTAAACTGCTAGACATTGTAATAAAGATATTATTAGGGGTTTGCAAAAGAAACTGCGCATGACTTGCCGGAACAATATTTTCTCTATTTGAAAGTGCTCTAACCCAGTTTAAATTTTATTCTATTGTGTTGATAACGCTTATTTATTTTACTGATTTTCACATTTGTTTGACCATTGAATTATAAATAATTTTAGTTGTCGAAGATGACGGATCAAAAATTCGTTTTGCGGGCTTGCCTTCTCTGGCACCGGAATCTTTGTGAAGCATTTGGAGAAAACGTTTTGAGTGAAAGAAGTTGTCAGGAATGGTTCCGGCGTTTTCGTGAAGGAGATGAGGGCTTGGAAGACGAGCCCCATGGACATCGTCCTGTTGTCCTCGATAATGCGGAGTTGCTCGAGGTTGTCGAGTCGGATCCAACTCAAACTTTGTCCGAATTAGCCGAATGCTTTAAATGCGATAAGAGCACAATTTCCCGACACCTTTTGCTTATTGGAAAAAGGAATCGTTGTGGCCAATGGGTCCCACATGAATTGTCGCCTGAAAACAAAGCCAATCGAGTTTTATTGTCTCGGATTTTATTGAAAAAGGCTACGGGCAGTGCTTTTTTTTTGAAAGCATGTTGACGATGGACAAAAAGTGGATATATTTCAATAATTCAACACGCAAAAGACAATGGTTGAGCAAAGGAGAAAGGCCGATTCCGACATCACATCCAGAACTTCACAGAAAGAAAGTTATGCTGTCGGTCTTTTGGAATATGAAAGGAATCGTTTATTTTAAACTACAAAAATCTTCAAAAACTATAACTTCTCAAAGCTACGCCGAACAGCCGAAGAAAGCTGATGAAATTCTACGAGAAAGAGGTGTTAATCCAAGGACAATCCATTTACTCGCTCACAATTTCCGGGTACACACATCAAACTTGGCTCAAAACACCATAGAAGAATTAGGCTGGAAACTTGTGCCTCATCCGCTCTATTCGCCTGATATCGCTCCCTCAGATTACCACTCGTTCCTGTCTATGCAACACTCTCTTGCAAAGCTAAAGTTTAACAATCCTGAAGAAGTCGAAATTTGGGCGCAAGACTACTTTGCATCGCGGGACCCCGAATTTTTCGAATCAGACATCCGAAGTCTACACAAAAAATGGAAAAATATAGTTGATAATTTTGGCGAGTACCTTTTGGAATAAAGTCTTTTATTATTGATTTTCGAGGTGTTTGAACGTTGCGTATAATACGCAGTTTCTTTTGCAAGCCCCTAATATTTACAGCTAAAATCCTAAAAACCAACAATGCTTCTAAGCTAAATACCTTTGAGAACAAGATACACTGTGGTGCAAAAGTCTTATCCCACTTACTCTTCTGAAACATTTTGTCAAAATTCTAAAAATTTTCGAAAACAACTTTTTAAGTAATGGGTTTTTTTAGTAGCTTATCCCTTCATCTTTTACTATGTAAATGCCCGTACTCCAATATTTTGTTGTTTTTAAAACCTTTTTTTTTCGTAAAACTTGAGAAAAAAAAGGCGGTGCAAAAGTCTTGTCTCACTAAGAAAATTTGTATTTTTTCTTCCCCTTTGTTTGTTCTCATGAATTTTTTGTATTATCTTTTTATTTTTAGATGTCGACTCGCAAATATTTATCAACTCCTGATAAGCAAAAGATCGTGCAAGCAAAGAAATATGGATATTCATCACCGTCTATTGCGATGCTCTTCCAATGCAATAAAAGGAAATAGAAGGCTAGCAGCAAAATCGGAAGCAGACCAAAGTTTTCATAAAGCTTCGAAAAGTGGTCGTCCACCGATTACAACAAAAACTGAAGATCGAGCACTTATCATTGACCATAGAATCGTCCCGGATCTGACTTCGAGCCATGGAGTCATGAAGTTGAAGGCCCTGTCTAAAAACCCAGAAGCTGAGATATGATTTTGCAAAGAACTACGAGTGTTGGACTTCCGATGACTGGGCCCGAGTCATTTTCACTGATGAGCCTAGAATTAGTTTATACTACCCGGACAGTACCCATCTAATCAGGAGACCAATTGGACAACGTTATAAGCTCAAATACGTTAAGCCAACGGTCAAATTCGGTGGTGGGAGCATTATGTTGTGGGGTAAGTGTTCGCCCTATTTTTCACTTACGATTTGTCTTTTTTAGGCTCGATGAATTGAAGTGTACCGGGACCGCTAGTGTTTATCAATGGAAATCTCGATGCTCAAAGGTACAAGTCAATCATAGAGAACAACTTACTTCCATTTGCAAACACGAACGTGCCACAAGGATGGCTCTTATATCGATGGGCCGAGTTGTCCGGCTTGCAAATGGAGGAAGAGCTCGCCTACCCGGTGCTTTTGCTGCTTATCGTGTAAAATTGATTAAAGTGCCTCCTTATTCGCCGGATTTGAATGCTATAGAGCATCTTTGGGCCGATTTAAAGACTACACTTAGGGGCAAGATATTCAACACAAAGGTCGAGCTTTGGTTCTTTATCAGAAACGTTTGGCGACAAATTTCTTCGGGAATTCTACGTGATTTCGTCGATTCAATGCCTCAACGCATTCAAGCAGTGATTTTGGCTAAAGGAGAACCGACAAAATCTTAATCTAGCTTTCCTTTTTTAATGGTGGGACCAGACTTTTGCACCACAGTGTATTGTGGTTTTTCCACACCACAAGAGGTTCATAAACTTTAAAATTGAAAGTAAAACCAACAATTGAAGAATTCTTCAGCTTGTCGTTGTTGTTGCTGGCTTTGTTACAGGTGGCGACCAGCTAAATGCACAAAACGTTTAAAAATCAACAAATATCAAGTAAAACTTTAGAAAAACTCACCAAAGTGTATGCAAAGAGTGGAATCGAATAGAAAATGTAAAAGAGAATTGCGTAAAACGAAATCATTGCTTCACTAAGACAATAAATAGCATCGATCGAGTAAAAATGAGGGAGGAAATTTTTGCGCTTACGCTAGAAAGGATCATATGCTTATTTTACATGCAAATTTCGTAACTGTCGCATTCTTCGTGGCTGCCCAATCTCAATGAAAAACATGAAAAAATTGGAAAGTATTCACAAGGGAAAGGCACCAGGTCAAGCTTTTGACTCGGAACCAAATCCATCTTGTAGAGTCGGCCATGGAGGTCTCGAACCCGTTTTTAGTTTTTGCAGAAGGCTTCGCAAACGCGAGATATCCAAATTCCGGACTTCTTAAGAAGCCGACACACGTTTGTTAACAGATTCTTCGGTGGTCCAGTGGGTATTCGGCGAGAGTACTGGATCTCTTACATTTTTGAGTACTGGATCTCTTACAAAGCTTTTTTGCTTTTTTGCTTTCCCTACGTATTTGCGACGAATAATAAAGTTGAATTTTATGCACCTGTAGCTCAGAAATGTGGCAAAAAATGTTAAATTTTTCAATACTTATGTACTGATTCTGATACTTTCGAAGGGCTTTTGTAACTATTTGTTGAAGTTACAGAAAGCATAGAAACTCGAGTCAATAACTCAATACAAATACGTAAGGAAACAGTTTTTGATACCCTTCCCTTGTTAGTTTTTTTGAGCGATTAGACCCCTGGTTTTGGAGCAACGTTGGTCAAAAATTGTTGTCACTTTTTGTTTTGTTTTCCTTGATTAGCGTTAACTTATCCATTTTCTGATTCTCATATGACTAGGTTTGATCAAAGTTGCCAACTTATCCACTTACTGTTGACATCTATGTGATGGGGGCTACAAAAATAGCTGAAAAACTGCTTCCTCAACTCCATTCTTTACTTTTGTCGTATTTGCAAGCCCTCATGACCTCTGCTAATTGATTCTTCTTTTAGAACCATTCACCGACTGTACATCTTAGGTTGATTTGACAGATCTAGCAAAGGGAAAGTTATAGGTACTCTTAAAGCATCGTAGATGAAGATTGATGACAAGTTTGCCAAGTAGACGCTTATTTATCGAACACTCTTGAAATGGAAAATGACGTGAGGTGACTCAGAAAATAAGTTCAAAGACAAATAGATTGGTTACGATCGCTTTTGAAGTTGATACTCTTCAAAAAACTGACACTAGCCAAGAGAATCACACTATTATTCCAATTACCGTTTGGCTGGGTACTTCGTTGGAATTAAACTCAATTGATCAATTGAATAGGTTATGTGTAGCCAAGAAGCTCCTGAAAACTTGAATGTTTAGCACGCAACCAAAAAATGATTGATCATCTTCAACGAATGTCTTCAAAAATCGCCAAACTCTCAATTCTTCGCGATCTCAAACTACAAAATATGAGAAAGAGAAATTGAAACCAGAGGAGCTCAAAATTTCTAAAGGTTAACTGAATAATTTTGTTTTAAAGTTGTTTATTTAAAAGTTAGAAAGAGTTGTTTAAGAGTTTTTTATTTAAAATTAAAAAATGAACCTTTCTGAGATCAAAGCATTGCTTGTCGGTTTAACATTTAGTCATAAAGTTTGATGGTCTTTTAAATAGTGTTTTTGTTATTATCATTTAAATTCAAAAATCTTTATTTTCTCTGTTCATAAATTTCTTATAAGATTTTTTTGAAACGGTCTTGATTGGTCTGAATTAAGTTAAGATTTTTTTGAAACGGACACTTGTTTTCCTGCGAGAAGCATTCCATTAACTTTCTCAATGGCTCTAGTTGCAGCGTTCTTGGTCTCGAAATGCACAAAGCCATAGCCCTTCGATTGTCCCTCATCATCGAGAGCAACCTGGAACAGAAATAATTACACGTTAATGTTATAAATAAAGATCTTAAGTACTGTATTCTTGTAATAAGTAACTAATCTTATAAGTCATCCAAATTCAGTTACTCTTGGATCCATTAGGATTGAGTAATAAAAAGATGAAAGCTGTTTTAAAATTTCTTATTTCCTGAGTTTTTAAATGATTACCTTGCACGAAAGAATGTTTCCGAAAGGCGAGAACGTATCGTAGACAGCTTTGTCATCAATGGACTTGTCAAGATTCTTGATGAAGATCTTTCCAGCTCCAGAGCGACGAGTAGATGGATCACGATTGGGCCACATAATGCGAATCGGCTTTCCATTGAGTGCGTCGAAGTTCATCGTGTCAAGAGCACGTTCGGCTGAAATTCGATTGCATTTAATCACTTACAAGTCAAGTTTACAAGTCCTGCTTTCTATAAAAGTTTTAAGTTCTTAAACTAGCGTAAGAAGTCATGAAAAATTCATAGCCTTTTACCTACCATCAGCTGGTTGTTGAAAGTTGACGTAGGCGTAGCCGAGCGGGCGGCGAGTGATCGCAGTACGGCAGACACGAATCGAGAGAACCGGGCCGGCAGTGGAGAATTTGTCGAAGAGCATCGACTCGGTGACTTCAGGATGGAGATCACCCACGTAGAGTGAAGCCATCGAGTAAGAATTGGCTCCAGTTGGTGAAACTCCTTGTTGCATCCAACACAAATATCAACCAAATCTTCTAATTTCAAAGTTAAACTAGATACAGTCATGGGCAAAAGTCTTGGCGGCGGTGGCAACTTTCAAACGCAAATTTAGGAACCTTTAGGAACCAAATTTAGGCTATAAAAAAGTTATCACAAGTATTTTTGAGCATTTTTGCTCTACTTTTAGCTATGACCAAGCATTGAACTCGAAAGTTTACTTTAAACAACCAAAATAAGCGTAAACGACAAAAAGGTCACGAAAACAATGGACAAAAGTCTTGGCGGCTTACTACAATACTCGTTTTTTTTCTATTTTTTTGTGTATCTTGCATATATTTTTGTAATGTTTTAATGTTTTTCAGATGCCTGGAGCGTATTTATCAACACCAGACAAAAAAGCAATTTTAGAAGCAAGAAATAGAGGAGAGAAAGAAAAAGACATCGCGGAAAAATTCAAATGCGGTACGAGGACAGTTGAACGCATCACACACAAGGCAACTGGAAACCTTCATCCAAAGCTCAAAACAGGCCGCCCACCGGTTACAACTCCAAGAGAGGATCGTAAACTCGTTTTGGATCATCGAGAAGAGCCGAAAAAGACAGCAACTGACGGCGTGGCTTTCATCAAGAATCTTTCAAATAGGGTTATCTCACGAAAAACTGTTAGCCGTCGTTCGATTTGAGCTGGATTGGTGACTAGAAGAGCTGCCAAGAAATCGCTAATGGTTGCCAGGCACCGAAAACTCAGGTGGCAGTTTGCGAAAAAGTACGCAAGTTGGACCGCCAACGATTGGGTCCTTCTCAACTAGACTCTTGATGCCCAGCGCTATAAGACGATCCTGGAGAACAAATTTCTTCCTTTTGCGACCGCCAAAATGGGACAAGGATGGTTCTTCTACCAGGACAATGCTCCTTGCCACAAGAGTCAGTTGCTTATGGTTCGACTTGCCAATGGAGGAAGAGCTCGACTACCCGAATGGTTCCGCGCGAATCGTGTTCAACTCGTCTCAGCTTCTCCATACAGCCCCGATTTGAATGTTATTGAACACCTATGGGCGTTTATCAAGACGAAACTCAAGGGAAGACGGTTTAACTCTAAGGCGGACCTTTGGTACTTCGTACGGCGAGTTTGGGCGACAATTGCGCCACAAATTTTACGCGATCTAGTTGACAGTATGCCCCGGAGGCTCCAAGCGGTCATTGCAGCTAAAGGCGGATCTACAAAATATTGAATTTTTCGCCTCTATGTCTGTGCCGCCAAGACTTTTGTCCATTGTTTTCGTGACCTTTATGTCGTTTACGCTTATTTTTGTTGTTTAAAATAAACTCGAGTTCAATGCTTGGTACTTGTGATACTAAATACTTGTGACAACTTTTTTATAGCCTAAATTTGGTTCCTAAAGGTTCCTAAATTTGCGTTTGAAAGTTGCCACCCAGGAGCCGAGAAGACTTTTGAACATGACTGTATTTATTTCAAATTTTGATAAGAAACCAACCTTTTTCTTGAGGAAAGAAGCACAGAATAGGAATAGAGTTTTTTTCAGTCAAAGAAATCTTATTTTTTTGACAAATTTTTGTGACCGCCAATGGCTCTAGGACAGAGGACTTAAAATCGCCTGGAGATACTATAGAACACTGGAAAACTGAACAGATGTTTACTTATAAGAATTGTATGCATTTTGGCATTAAAAGAATTGGCACAGGAAATTCCCAATTGATGACTAAAAAGCTTTCCCATTAAGCCAGCCCACTTTATAGACATTTATGAGCTTATGCTGCTCTGCTTAGTGCAATTAAAAAGATTGATAAAAGATTGATAAATATACATATTCTTTTTGTTTTTCCCCTACCATTGCCGCTTGGACACCATTTGTCCCTATACAATTCGTGTAATTGAGTTTTGTCCCATCAGTCCACTGCCAAATCTTTGTTGATGAGTTTTGCTGTAAAAAAAAAGATTACGATTTCGGATTCTGAATGAAATATTTAAGTGACAAGTCTATCAAGCTTACCTTGCATCAACGAAGACAAGGACGAAAAGGCAGGTCAGATCTATTTCGGCCATTGCCTCGGGAGAGAAGTCGCAGCTTTGCGCTCAAACTCTTTTGCATGGTTGATTCAAATCATTTTGAACTAACTAGATTCCAAACGGGCGTAAAAAGTGTTAACTATAGTGTATTCCAAAGTGAATGTTGGATTTTCTAAATATATTCGCGATGGCGGTATTTTGGGAGTACGATACCTGTTTCACTGATAATTTTATGAAAATTCCAAATAAAATAAACTAGCATTATAGTCATTCGATAGCCCTGAATCTCCTGAAAACTAGTATAAAGTTACCAAAGATTTTCTGCAAAATATTGGGTTGGTGAATTGAAAACTGCCGGCTATTTTGCGGGACTCGCAGATAAAAAAACGACAGCATTGAACCAGCTGAAAGGGGGTTTGGTTACTTCAACATTTCCTCAACGGGGACAAATCTTTGAAAGGTGCAGAGGGCCGTGGAGCGGCACCCGAACTGGATGACTCCAAATTACTCGAACTCATTACCAACGACCATCGGGTATCATCGCCTGAATTGGGAGAAGAGTTAGGGATTGATCATCCTACAGTGCTAAGGCACCTTCATACCCTTGGATTTAAATCGAAACTTGGGACTTGGGTGCCCCATGACCTCACTGACCCCCAGAAGTGGCAGCGCGCCTCGATCAGTGCCTCTCTCATCCTTTCCCGAATTGTGAAAGGAGATGAGAAATTGGTTTTATCTGTGAACTTTCGGAGGAAGTGGCAATGGGTGGGGCCAGGCGTGAAACCCGAAAGTGACCCCAAGCCCGATTTGCACCAGAAGAAGTTTATGCTGCTCCGCGTTTTCTGGGATATGAACGGAGTGGTGTACTGGGAGTTGCTGGATAGCCAGACGGCCGTTAATGCAATCAAATACAGTGAACAGTTGGGAAAGGTGAATGAATCCCTGAAGAAGAATAGGCCCTCCAAGTCAAAGATCGTTCTCATCCACGACAAGGCGCGCCCTCATGTTGCAAAACTGACTCGCTCTACGGCGCATTCCCCCATACAGTCCGGACCTAGCCCCTTTTGATTACTATTGATTCCGGATCATGAGTAATGAGCTTGCGGGAGAACACTTCGATTCGGAAGAAGCAGTCAAAAATTGGCTTTGAAAGTTTTTCGATTCAAAACTAAAATCCTACGACGAAAGAGGAATCCGCAAATTGCCTGTAAAATGGGCAGAAGTCGTCAACAATAATGGAAATTATTTGGAACGAATTTATGGTTTTATGTTGAATAAATTCTAGTTCAAAGTACGGCATTTTTCATTTCACCAACCCAATAAATAACAAAAGTCCTTAAAGACTTGAGTTGACACGAAAAATAATCGTCATTAGTACAACCCGAAGATGTTCTATCATTGCATCAAAGCTGATTTCTTGCAGATGAACCTCGCCTCGTCAAAAACGGGTTTATTAGGAGATTCTCTTCCTTCGGATCGAACTTTATAAAGATTCCAGAGTCTCTCACCAAATGGAGTCCAATTGTAGCCTCTGTGAATCTAAAATAAATTATAGGCAACTTTATTTTCTACCGAGTCAAGAAGGGCAGTAGAATGACCGTCAAACATGAGAAACATAACCAATCGAGGTGTAATTCATTTTGAAATCTATTTCACTTTTTAATTATTTTTACATACGTGAGCATATACGGATCTTTCGCGTGTTTAGATTTCGATAAACAATGAAGGTGAATCAATTTTCAAGCCACACGAGCTTCCAAGGATAAAAGGTAAACTCTTAACCTTCAGTAGACTGAGTTAAAGATACTGTCAAGTCCCATTTGTTTGTATACATCAGATGATTTTCACAGACTGTTGAAACCAACAGTAAATGGTAAAAAAAGTCAAAGTCAAGTGGCATGCAAACAATTTATTTGATCACAATTAAGATGCCGCAATTTCGTTTCCTTTGAAAGACACATTGTGAGCGATTTTCTAAAATGAATTCGATTTAAGAATCGATGTGAGTTTGAAGTGTACCTCAAAAATCCACTTTAACTTAGGAAAAACTATAAACTGGCTATTATTTTAAAAACAATCCCAAACCTGTTGTTTCGTGACTTTGATCGACTTGCAGAGGATGCTCTTGCGTTCGGGCCGACTCCTGAAAAATAAAAAGATAAAAAATAAAAATTATTTTTAGAAACTTATAAGAACAAATCAACTTACGTAGCAGCTCCGATCGGCACGTAAATTTCCTGTGTATGAGGCTCGGACGTTGATTTGAGCAATCTAAAACAATGCAGATAATTAAAACAAAAGAATTCTAATTTAGAACAAAAGTTTATTATATAACAGACCATATCTGTAATCTACATAAAGTAATACATTATTTAAAACATAAAAAACTAACGGTTCATTGGCTGTCTTCATTTCGGTCACCGATTCCTTTGAGCTAGCTGCATTCACCGTGTTGTCCGATTTGTCACTGAAAAGTAGAAAATTAGAATAGTATTTGATAGAAGACAGTTTTTTTTTTAAAGAATTGGGCTCGTTTATGAACAAAATTTGTGCAGATTCACGCAAATCGATACCACAATTACATAAAATGTTCAAGGCAAACTTTTTCCGCATACACCTAACAGTAATAAAATTCATCATAACTAGGAAAATTTTTAAACATTTATAAAAACCTACTCATTTTCCGAATTCGCTTCTGCATCCAGTTCGCTTCCTACTTTTTCATCCGATGGCTAAAGACAACAATGTTTAAACAGAAAGCCTAGACTTTAAAAGAAACTGTCGTGAGTTTGCTACTTTGTTACGACTGTCGCCTTCTAGCAAAACATAAAACACGTCTGATTGAGCGTTCCTTTTGTATTGGGTCGGTACGGACACTCTATGATTCGCTTACCGAGGGAACTGGTCGATCCTGCGAGTTCTCCTCATCCTCGACACGTTCCTTTTCTGACTAAAGTTAAAAAGTTAGTCAAGCAAACATCTTGATAGTAGATACATTAACAATTTAACCAGAAAAAGAAGTATTTCGGCTCAAATATGTCCTCAAATCTAACTATAAGACTCATGTAAACTGCTAGACACTAAAAACCAACAATGCTTCTAAACTAAATACCTTTGAGAACAAGATATTGTGGTTTTTCCACACCACATGAGGTTCATAAACTTTAAAATTGAAAGTAAAACCGACAATTGAAGAATTCTTCAGCTTGTCGTTGTTGTTGCTGGCTTTGTTACAGGTGGCGACCAGCTAAATGCACAAAACGTTTAAAAATCAACAAATATCAAGTAAAACTTTAGAAAAACTCACCAAAGTGTATGCAAAGAGTGGAATCGAATAGAAAATGTAAAAGAGAATTGCGTAAAACGAAATCATTGCTTCACTAAGACAATAAATAGCATCGATCGAGTAAAAATGAGGGAGAAAATTTTTGCGCCTACCCTAGAAAGGATCATATGCTTATTTTACATGCAAATTTCGTAACTGTCGCATTGTCTTCGTGGCTGCCCAATCTCAATGAAAAACATGGAATTGAGATTGGGAACATTGGAAAGTATTCACAAGGGAAAGGCATCGAGTCAAGCTTTTGATTCGAAAACATATCCATCTTGTAGAGTCGGCCATGGAGATCTCGAATTCGTTCTTAGTTTTTGCAGAACGCTTCCCAAACGCGAGATATTTAAATTTCAGACTTCTTAAGAAGCCGCCACACGTTCTCTTAACAGATTTCTTCGGTGGCCCAGTGGGTAGTCTGAGCAGAGAGTCTGAGTAGAGTACCGAACCTCTTACAAAATTCCGAACATTTTTGTAACTTAGCCATTCTCTCATTCTCATAAGACTAGTTTTGATCAAAATTGCCAACTTATTCACTTACTGTTGACATCTATGTGATGGGGGCTACAAAAATAGCTGGAAAACTGCTTCCTCAACTCCATTCTTTACTTTTGTCGTATTTGCAAGCTCTCATGACCTCTGCTAATTGTTTCTTCTTTTAGAACCGTTCACCGACTGTACATCTTAGGTTGATTTGACAGATCTAGCAAAAGGAAAGTTGTAGATACTCTTAAAGCATCGTAGATGAAGATTGATGACAAGTTTGCCAAGTACACGCTTATTTATCGAACACCCTTGAAATGGAAAATGACGTGAGGTGACTCAGAAAAGAAGTTCAGAGACAAATAGATTGGTTACGGTCGCTTTTGAAGTTGATACTCTTCAAAAAACTGACACTAGCCAAGAGAATCACACTATTATTCCAATTACCGTTTGGCTGGGTATTTCGTTGGAATTAAACTACTCAATTGATCAATTGAATAGGTTATGTGTAGCCAAGAAGCTCCTGAAAACTTGAATGTTTAGCACCCAACTCACAAACAAATTGAGTTTATCAAGTAGACGCTCTATTTAGCCAAACACCCCCAAAAATGGTCGATGAGAGCACAAATGGATGACGTGAGGCGACTCGGATCGGCGATCATCGCAATTGTCACAGTCAAAGAAGAAAAGGAAAAGAAGAGCTCTTCTTTTCTCTGCTTCTTTCAAGATCACTTCTCTTGTGATTGATTTGTTCTCATTTTACCCAAAACCCAATCTCCGTTCACCGCGACGCTTTCTAAATGTGGCTCGAGTGATCGTCGACAAAAAGTGGGGGGAGAGCCCAGTCTTTTTTTGTGGAGAGAGATGAAAAATGATTGATCATCTTCAACGAATGTCTTCAAAAATCGCCAAACTCTCAATTCTTCGCGATCTCAAACTACAAAGTATGAGAAAGAGAAATTGAAACGAGAGGAGCTCAACCATTTCTAAAGGTTAACTGGATAATTTTGTTTTAAAGTTGTTTATTTAAAAGTTAGAAAGAGTTGTTTAAGAGTTTTTCATTTTAAATTCAAAAATATAAAGAGCTTTGCTGAGATCGAAGCTCATTTGCTTGTCTGCTTCACACTTATCCATAAAGCTTGCTTGTCTGCTTAACACTTATCCATAAAGCTTGCTTTTCTGCTTAACACTTATCCATAAAGCTTGCTTGTCTTTTTAAAAAGTGTTTTTGTTTTTATCATTTAAATTCAAAAAAACTTTATTTTCTGTGTTCATAAATTTCGTGTAACATATGAAAAAACAAAGCGAATTCAACCGTAATCACTTGAGTTACTTGTAAAGAATCGGGAAAGTGACCAGAGAAAACTAAGAAAAAAAAAGGGAAAATATTGGCTAGCATGAAAGCTATTGTCTTCTCCAAATATTATTAGAATAAAGATATCAATCGGTTACCTACAATAGGGCCACTTTCAAAGCTTTTTTTTCATATTGCTAGAGAACATTTCGTAAATTTGAGATCGAAACTCGTAAAGGCTCAAATTCAGTCTTCCATTTTAGCACTCTTGCAAGCTTGAATAATCGTTGAAAATCGTTGATTTTAAGGCTTGAAAGAGGCTCTCAAGGGGGGTAAGACCTTCGTATTTACAAGTAAATAACAGTGGCAAGGATCTAATGAAGAGGCTTGCACTCTTGGTCTAATTAAAATTGCCTAATAGTATTGAACTGGTTGAAACATAGGGCATTTGGCATACCACCGTTGGCACGTGTTCGCCATATCGCCGGAAGCGGGTGGATTGCAGAGGGCATGCACCTTGGGATGAGTGTTAGCGCATTTGCATTCTGTTGTGCAATACGAGGCTGTGCAGTCAGGAGTGCAGCTGGCGATCATCGCAGCGGTGAGTTGAACTTTCTCAGAAGTGATTGAGGGAGTCTCATGAATACGATGAGTGAGAGGAGAGGGGAAGATCAAGACGAGCATCACCCTGAAATCAAAATGTAAGTATTTGGCTTGAAGCTTTAAGCTTGAAGATTGAAGATCTCTTGTTCTTAATCGATAAAACCAACCCTTGGCAATGGCGGAGGGACGATCATCTCGCCAGCTTCTTTCTTTTCAACCCCATCAACTCCACAATGTTTCTTGTAAGCGGGGCAGAATTTCGCTAGTTTTGTGAACGTTTCCGAATCCAAATCGGAAACTCTCATGTTGCAAAACTTGGCATAATGCTCAGCGTGTTTTGAGCAATAACTGCCAACATCTTGTCTCTTTGCGCGTCCAAGGCTCAGCACGGAAGCAGCTAGAAAATAGTTAGATAAATGTATTGTACTATAAAAGACAAATCTACTCTACTGTAAATGGTAAAAAATCTTACCTTCAATAAGCAAAAGATTTCCGACGAAAGCGGCGAATAAGAGAGAGCGGATCATTGATGATGAATTGAAGTTGAGGCTTAAAAGGGCCTTTTGCATACCACTTTGGTAGTTGGGGGGAATCTAATAGAAATCGAAGGGCTTATATAAGAAATCTTGAGTACCGCCCCTTTATGAGAAAAAAGGATCAGTGAACTCTTTTTGGGGGAAAAAAGATGGGCGGAGACTTGATCTCTTCGTACAGAGAAAAGAAAGGTTTCTTTGAAAATCGCCCTGTTGATTTTCAAAGATTTTTCTGCCCGGAAATCAACAACTTTTGCAGAAAGGTTATGGTGTTTTTGGGTATAGGAAAAACAAAAGTCTGATCGGTGGATGGTCCCCTAATGTAATTGTGGCGTTGTGGCTCTGTAATCCATCTTATAAATGTCAGACAAAAGGTAGAATCTTGTGTCAAAGTAATGAATGAAAGATCTGATATCTTTTTGTATCAAGTGATAACATAAATACACTATTTTTAAGGAATTTTTCAAAGAGTAGACTGATTGAAGAGTGTTGCAGTTGGAATAGAAAGTGTCAAAACTAGAATTGCTTCAGAATTCCTAACAAAAACTCAACTTTTAACATTGAGTGGCTTTTGATAGGATGGTTTTTGATAAGTACAGTGACTTTTGGAGAAGTGCAAGACTCGTTTATAGCCTGTTCTTTACCGTAAAAAGTTTACCGAGCCAGAAGCCGTGTGTGTTTCAGCGTTTTCCGTCATTTTACAACCCAAAAATACATCATTCACATCAAATTTTAGATATAAATAACCCTTTTCTAGCAATTCTCTTAAACATTTGAAACTCTAGAGAATGTTCTTAGCAATGACCATTCAACTTTCTTCAATAGATCTATGGGATCTATGTCTCAATTTTGATAATAAACACCGGGAAGTTCACGATAACCTCTAAAAGAATTCATTTTGTCCTTTGTTAAGGGCAATCCCTATTTATCACAAAAAAAAATTTATTATTATGTTCGAGAAGTTTCCTCTTTTTATCCACGCTCGTGGAAACGATTTGAAAGTCCCAATGAACTCGGAAAATTTGATTGATTATGGGATAATGGAGAGATAATGGAGTGATCAAAAAGGGGGAAGGGGAATTGAACTCAAATTTTTGATTTTGTAATGAAATTTGTGTGGGGGTAAATGGATAAATCATGAGAATGGATAAATCTAGAAGGCAATCAGCTCAAAACATATCAACACTTTCGTAAGGGCGAAACTATTGAATAATAAATTTTGTCATACATATGTCTGAGATAATTTATGAGATAATCTAGAGTTTTTCGTTATTAAATGATTCTAGGGTTTTTGAGGGTTTAGATTTTGATTTAGATTGGTTACTTTATGAGTTTAATTTATTGTTATAAGGGGTAAATGTTATGTAATTGATAGAAATAATAGTTTGAATCAGGCAATTGGCTTTGTGATTTGTGCTAGCTATTGCAGGAACCAGAAACCATTGGAGAGGTTAGGCCAAGGTTTGAACCAAGTTAGGCCTATCTTATTGAAATAGTATTCGACAAGTATTGATTGCTTTTTGTGCTCAAAAATGTAAACAAATTCTTTTTTGAGTAAGCACAAAGAATGATGAAATGGAGATGTTTTATAAGTTAAATATAATTGAGATTGACTTATTATTGAGATATTCAATTGTTCGCTTGATAGTGAAGGATACTGTAAAGTAGACCTTAACGAGTCTAGACAAAATTTTCAGACAGTCTTCGCTCTTCGATTTTTCCCTGCCCAAAGCTCCTACGAGCATGAGCCCAGTTCCCCCTCGAAGCCCTTGTTCTAGGCTTCATTTTGATACTAAAAATGGCTGGGTTCTGTTTTGTCATTCTTTAGATTTCGATCAATCTTTCGCTGGACTCGATAAGCAGCGAGGCCAGAAAATTTTCATCTAAAATAGCCAAAATCTAAGAATGCAAAACAGAATCTAGCCATGTTTATATCAAAATGAAGCTTAAAATAGGGTTTGCGGGAACTGGGTTTCATGCTCTTGGAAGTAAAAATTCGAGAGTGGGCTATCTCGAAAATTTAGAACTCGTTAAGCAGGTCTACTCAAACTGTGATTCTAGATCTAGATAAACCAGATATTCTAGATATTCTAGTCATTCTAGGGTCAAGCTTTGAGTACAAATTACAATCCATTACATTGGTTTCATGCTCGACGAAGCTTTGGGGAGTAAAAAATCCGAAGAGCTAGGCAGACTGTCTGAAAATTTTGTCTAGACTCGTTAAGCAGGTCTACTGTAAAGTCAAAGTCATACATGTGATTCGAAAATGTTCAGTATTGTATATCAATGAGTAGTGTAAAGATAAAAAGTGTTTTCCTGTTTATTGCAAGCTTTGTTTTCATTTCGAAATCGTTCAGCGTTGTGAAGAGAGCTTTTGATTTCCTGTGTGCCTCAATCGTTTTCCATTGTGTGAGTGTGAGATTTCTCACTTAAAACTAAAGAACACTGAGAGAAACTCAATAGAAATAAAGTTGTCATGGCTTTACCTGAAAAGGATCTCACAAGGATTTGCACTCGATTTTTCTTCGAGCAGACTCAACACTCTGTCACCACAATAGCTATCGATCAAAAGTGGCTCGTGATTTTGAGAATATTGCTTTTCATTAGAGAATATTAGAGAAAATGGGAATGCTTTTTGATAATTTCGAATTTGTTTGGCTAAAATCTGGCATAATAGAGAAATCTTTAGGCAATAAACAGAAAATAGGCAAATCTTTAACTAAAGCTTTAATGAATTTGAGCATTATAAATAAAATGTTAAGTTTATCAATATTGAAAAGTTTAAATTGATCAACTAGCACTTTCAAAGATCAACTTTATACAGACTTTATACTTTATAACTTACAGACTTTATACAACAACTTACAGACTCTATACAACAACTTACAGACTCTAGACAACAACTTACAGACTTTGCACAACAACTTACAGACTTTGCACAACAACTTACAGACTTTATACAACAGCTTACAGACTCTATACAACAACTTACAGACTTTGCACAACAACTTACAGACTCTATACAACAGCTTACAGACTCTATACAACAACTTACAGACTTTGCACAACAACTTACAGACTCTATACAACAACTTACAGACTTTATACTCAAAAATCAACTTTATACAGATCAACACTTTATAAAGTTGATTTTCTTTCCTTTTCTCGATTTTCACTTTCAGAAAGATTGAAATTTTGTTTTTGATCACTTCCGCTTGAACAAAGCTCTCTGAAAATGGCAATAAAAACCGAAATTCGCGTTTTCAGTCTTTTGTTTTCTCTTTTAATTTATCTACTGTTTGAGCTTTTTAAAACTCAAACAATATTTTCGTTCTTTTAAGACAAATTTCTCACGCTTTACGTCTTTCGTCCCCTTTTTTACGTTCTTGTGATCTTGTGATCGCTTTACGACTTTTGTTCCCTTTTTTACGTTCTTGTGATCTCAAAATGTAATCCCCAATACCAGATAATAAATAAACCTTTTCACTGAACCAAAACTCGAGTAAATTCGTGAAAAATGACACGTGATAAAAGAAAAAGGAAAAAAGAGACAGTGATCACTCAAAGATGTCCCCTTTTCGACCCGAAAAAGACTGGGCAAGAAAAGGAAAAAAATGGCGAAAATCGAATTAGAGCTATTTTGGGCATTTCCTCTAACACTAAATCATCGTCAAGCGAATGAATTGTGAAAGCTAGAATTTTGGGTGTTCTCTAAAGATTTCCCGTCGTCATCGGACCATTCGAGTGCGATTCCGATGAGCGAGTGGATGCCCGATTTGGAAGTTTTTGGATTTTGGATTTTGCGAGATCTTTGATGAATTTTTCTTTTTCTGTTTTCCGAGGATACCGTAATCGGAAAGATGGATCGGGCAATTGGCTTTGTGATTTGTGCTAGCTATTGCAGGAATCAAAAACCATTGGAGAGGGTAGGCCAAGGTTTGAGCCAAGTTAGGCCTATCTTATCGAAAATTTCCAGATCCAGATTTGACCTAAGGTTAGCTTGGCTTAAATTTTGTCTTTTAGCTTCTAAACAATCCTTTCAACAATCCTTGGAACAATCTTTGAACAATGAAAAATCCAACAAGTCAAACTTTTGTCTGACTGTTGTCAACAATTGTCTGATGAATATTTCCAGTTTTCCATTTCAATTATTT